TATACATTTATACATATGCACATATATACCCATACATGTTTATGTATAGAAGTATATATGTATGTGTACATTTTCATATACGCATGTGTATGTATGTATAGACACATACATTCCGATACATACCATGCATCAACTATCGCTGTCGGCTGATGTAGAAGGTGCAATATTTTATTTATATTCAAGATGTTGGCAATTCAAAAATCAGCATTCTCTGCCATCAGGATACTCACCTATACCCAATATTGTGTATAATATTGCATGTAGGAGATGAGAGACTGCAATTATACGCTATGCCCCACCTACTGACTAAGGCCATACACTGGAGGCAAACGGAGGGTTTATCAAAACCCTAAACCCCTGAACAGACGAAGGTTGTTATTAGCGTACACTCGCAAGGTGCTTGTGTTGTTCAATGCCGATCATAGAATAGAAGACCAAGTAGGGGCCGACTGGTAACCATGGATGCGAGGGGCTCATTTGGTCGCACACTGTGGCACACGAACACGTACTATTACCAATGACTACGTATCGCTGACGCCTGACAGTGATCGCATTAGATTTGGTGGTGGCTGTATGATAAGATGGTTGTTAGCAGTAGTGTTTCCTTCATACACAGACATCGCAAGGTGGTACATGCGCTCACTTTTGTGCTTGTTGGCAAAAGAGGCGTAGCCCCAGCGCTGTCCCAGGGGGCAACAGCCCATACTCACCTCTCTGTGCAGAGCTTTGGCTCGAGCGAAACCACGGCAGTATGCACAAATCTGGTGCATAAAACATACCCTTTCCAGCATGTAATACGGTGAGTGATGTAGAGACAGATGCCGTAGCGCGCTAAAACAGCCACGATGACGGACACTTTCCGGTGAGTACACGGGTACTAACGCACACACCAATGAGATGCCGTAAATATAGAAGCTTGTCTGTTTGTCGCACACTCGGCAACCAGGACTAGCAGAGCAGAAGCTTACAAGCGTAACAAAACCAAATATTGGGTACTAGGGAGTCCCACTAGAGACCAGAAGTACACTCACAGGGTGTTGTACGCAGATAGGATAAATTCCATGAAAATAAAGATTAGAATTCATTGTGGTCTGAGCATCTGCATATACACGGCAGCTAGTATGTGGGGTCCTAAATTGGTATGACTACGGTTGCTGCGACTACTATGATATCGTGTTGTCGGTGGAACTGTATCCAAGGAGAGGGGTTACCTAGTGTGAATGGAAGACACGCTATATCTGATCCATCGAGTATATGCACCCATACGGCTGCTAGGGTTTTAGC